GCTGGCTGGCGGGGCGGCGGGAGGGGGAGGGGGGAAAGAAGAAAGCCCAGGCAGGTGAACTCCCAAAATGTGTCCGAGGCGAAAAAGCCTGGAATGAAACTGCTTTAATTGAAGGGAAGGGGGAGAAAGGGCCGGAGGAGGCGTGCGAGTACAAGGTGCTTTTCTTCAGAAACAGGTTAGATCCAGGGAGGTCGTTGAGAGCAAAGCTTACTTTCCCTCATTGGACTTTTAGGCTATGCCACAAATTAGGCACGTGTCCCTTTTTTCCCCTCCAAGGTGGTTGCGGTGGGATAGCTTGTGAGGGCAACCTCTTCCAGTGCCGCGGGGCTTATCTCTATGTTTAAGGCAAGCTCCGCCTTGTTTCCAGCAGGAGCCAAAAAGCAAACCTTCTCCTCTCCCAGGTCAGAAGCGCTCCTCCTTCCCGCCCTTGAGGGTGAGATGTTGGTCAAGACGGCGCGTTGTTCTGTACAGAGAGCGAGGGCGGGAAGGGAGCAGGTTTCCTTTTGGAAGCCAGAGAGCCGAGGATGGGAAGATCCGAGTGACAGAACTTTGTCCTGCGAAAGGCTCGTCAGGTGACCCCTTCACCTTTATTGTCCTTTTGGAAATCGGCTCTGGGCTGGAGCCAAGCAGGGGAGTGTTAGTTGGCGCGCAGGTCGCGCAAGTGCTTCCACAACAGAAATTCCCCCCATGTGGATGTAAGTAAACAAAAGTGCAAAAGAATGAGACTGTATTCTAGCAACACTCCCCTCTACGTGATAAGCACTGAAAACACGGTTACAAAAAAACAACCACCCACCTCTGATGTTGGAAAGCGTGGTCGGCTGTGGGACAAGATTACTATATATGGAGAGGATGATAAGTGTGTGCTGGTTAGGTGGGAAAAACACAACTGCCTCAGTCTAAATAAGTGAGAATGATAACATAGAGAGCAGGGTACTCCTGAGGAAATAGTCAGGAATTCCAGTGCTATTCTTTATTTTCAATAGCAAAAGCTTGGCTAATGCAGAATTTAATTAGAATGTCTAGGAATATAAGTCTACATGAAACATACTGGGCCACAATCCTATTGGTAATTTACACTTGTAAAAGTGAAATTACTTTTACAAGTGTAAAATGGATAAGATGCCAGTCATATTCCTGCTTGTGTGTCATTGTGGGAAATTAGCACATGACTGGGAATGCAACAAATCACCTTGTTAATGAGGAGCGATTTGACACTGTGACATACATAGAAATTGCAAGTAGAATTCTGGCCACTGCATTTGAAGAAGCAGTCTACAGTTTGGGGAAGCTTGTGCCAAATAAAGCCTGTTAGTCTTCAAAGTGTCTAAAAACTATGCTGTTTTTCATGTAACAGACTTGCTCATTTCCCCCATGGAAATAATACCAAAACTGTTTCAAAATGTTTTCAGATTGCAATGGTTAGGATTTGATAGGAAATATTGCCAAAATTCTAGGATACATATCAGAGTTCTTGATGTGGTTGACATATACAGTATTATCTTCCTGTTGTGGATCAGATTCCCATCCTTTCAGCATCCCAGGAGATTCTTTCCTTGGTGGATTTTCTCTTGGAGGAAGAAAAAAAAAGATGGATACAACAAAGGAGAAACAGTGTTTCAATCCCTTGCACATTTTAGTGAATGGAATACTGAAGTACTCAAGTCAAATTTGAGGCAAGGTGAATTTCAGTGTATCTTGAGTGCGCCTTCCTGGTGTAGAGATCCTAGCACTACACCAGTGATGCCATCTTTTTCTTCCTTACGAATGTATTTTTTTGGATGAGGAAAAAGATAGTGGGGAAACAAGGGAAGGAAGATGTTGTCTAGACCCAGTGTAACATTCTATCAGTGGGGCAGCACACCACAACCTCATCTGTTGGCATTCTAAGGCCTTGTCTACACTGCCTCTTTTGGAGTGGGCTGGTGCAGGCTAAACAGAATCACTTGGAGTCAAGTGGAGGTGCCATAGACCATTCGGTGTGATCCTTGCATCCAAATGGTATATCGGTGCTCAAGTGACCTTATTTCGCCAGGCTCCTTCTAATATCATGAAGTGGCTTATAAGCGAGCCATTTTAGAATATAGGCAAACCCAATGCATTCTCTGTTCCTTGGCAAAGGGGAAGGGGGAGAGAAGTTTATTTTAAGACTCTGGTAGACTATCTTTGAGGTGCTGCATCCTCACTTAAAAATTTAATATTTTCTTTAGTTTCTCTTTAAAGGACCTGCCTAAAAAACAAAAACAAAACTACCATGGATTCAGCTGTGGGCAGTTTCTCAACTGTCCCTCCAGACACACCAAACTAAATACTGTAGTACTTATTAAATTTTTTAAAAAAGTGATTCAGCGCCTTAGCAATACCTTCTTCAAGAATAGCCCTACATACAGCATGTCACAGTAGTCAAAACATAATGTAAGGAAGGCATGGATTGCTTTAGTCACATCAGGTCAAATCAGCAAAGATGTAGCTGGTACACTAGGCAGGGCTGTGCAAAGATACTCCCCATCACTGATGCCACATGGGAGTCCAGTGACAATGCAGAGAAGGAATACTCCCACACTACGAATCTGACCAGTCAGTGAATCACAGCCCCTCCTAGAGCAGGGTGAATATCAATCCCCAAATCCAACTTTCCTAGTGACCAGGAGCTCCTCCAACTTGTCAGGATTTAGTTTCAGCATGTTTGCCTACATGGAGCCCATTATCAAGTTCAGGCAGCATTTAAGACTCCAGACAAAAGGGACAAGAAGCAACAGCACTTAACTGAGTTATTCCTTGGGTACCTCATAATAGTGTTGATTCTTCTCAGTGGAAAGAAATTACTTCATTCTTCGAGAAGCACTGGAGAAGCTGGCAGAACCGGTAAGTATCATTATCCGAACTGAATTGGCTTTTGGAGAAAAGACAAAAAGAGGATATTATTTACACATGGAGCGGTAACACCATAACCTATACATCAACAAATGCTGCTCAAGCAATAGCACATGGGAACCAGAGCCAGGAATGAAGTATAACATGTGTTGATTTTAAAAAAAAATTAAACTTTACAATACACATGAGCCAACTAAATTCAGAATTTTAGTTTAAAGCTTCTGATAGCAACAGGAGATGATAGGTTGTATCACTCAAAACTTGTGATACTGTGGGTGTTCTGAACTGCTGGATAGCTCAGTGGTTTAGGTATCTGGTTGCTGAGTCAGAGTCTGAAAGGTTGATTCCTCACTGTGCCTGACTGGACTTGATCTATAGGGTCCCTTCTAGAGCTGCGGTTCTACGGTTATTCTTCTCCAACAGAGGTCTCAGGCATTGTAACCCTAAACCTACATAGTATCCACATTTGCAATAAATGCCCATTCGGGGAAGATGGGGGAAATTGCGTTTTTCTAGCAGTGAAGTATTACAGTTTTGGGGGAGAAAGCCGCCTCCTGATAATGAGTTTTGCCTTGAAGAAAGGCTGGTATGTGTCTTCCACCACAAAATAGCCTTGCCACTTTGATAAGGGCATTTGTTTTGTTTACAAGAACAGAATAAATAACATCTTTTTTAAAAAAACTTGGGAAATTCCAGCTGAATATGTACACAGGGCCATTATTCATACTTGACACCGGAGCAGTATCATTAGAATGTAAATGCCACTTCAGCTAATAAGTGCGGATTAACAAGAACTCATGATGGGTATATGTACCTATATACTATTATAGTGTTTTTGGGACAACCAAGCTTATTTCTCAACTTATTTTGACTAAAAGTTTCCTAATATCTTTTTTCTTTTCTCTTTTTTCTTTTTGCTCCTCTGCTCTCAACAAAAAGGCACTGCCTGCCTCCAGGCTGAACACTCAGATGTCAAGGTTTCCCATCTGTTCCTAAGGCCTTCAGATCCCGCATGCAGATATCCTTGTATCACAGCTGTGGTCTCCTTCTGGGGCACTTTCCCTGTACTAATTCTCCATACAGGAGATTTTTTTGGAATCCAGCCATCAGCCATTCTCACGACATGCCCAGGTCAAAGTGGAGGTCGGTGTTTCAGTAATGTATACATGCCAAAAATTCCAGCTCGTTCCAGAACTACTCTATTTGGAACTTTGTCCTGTCAGGTGATACCAAAAATGCGTCGGAGACAGCACATATGGAACATGTTCACCTTCCTCTCCTGCCGTGCACAAAGGGTCCAGGATTCACTGCAGTACAGGAGTGTGCTCAGGACACAGGCTCTATAGACCTGGATCTTGGTATATGCCATCAGCTTCTTATTAAGCCATTAAGCCATACTCTCTTTGTGAGTCTAGAAAACGTGGTAGCTGCTTTGTGTTTATCCAGCTCATCATCTAGGGAGAGAGTGTCTGAGATCGTTGAGCCAAAGTACACAAAGTCATAAACAACCTCCAATTCTTGTGTGGAGATGGTAAAATAGGGAGGTGAGTCCATGCCCTGGCCAATGACTTGTGTTTTCTTCAGGCTGATTGTTAGTCCAAAGGCTTGGCAGACCTTGTTGGTCTTCGCTCTCAATCTAGAGAGATTAAAGAGCTTTCCATCTGATCTAGTCCGGAGATAGACACCTTCTGTTGCAGTTCCAAAGGTGTGCTTCAGCATGACAGCAAAAAAGATCCCAAACAGAGTTGGTGCGAGGACACAGCCCTGTTTTACTCCACTTCGGATGTCAAAGGGATCTGATGTTGAGCCATCATTTCCTCATGAAAGGACCTGATGATGTTAAGGAGGTGAGGTGGACATCTAGTCTTGGGAAGTATTTTAAAAAGGCCATCCCTGCTAAACAAATCAAAGGCCTTTTGTGACATCTATGAAGGCCACAAAGAGTGTCTGTCGTTGTTCCCTACATTTCTCCTGCAACTGTCTGAGGGAGAATACCATGTCAGTGGTGGTTCTATTAGCTCGAGGTACAAGTATCTGCAGGCATTAAATCAGCATTTTAATGAAATAGTGCTTGAACGACAATATACTATCTTACATTTCATTCTAATTCTGAGGCCCTGTCTGTCTTGCACGTTTCAAAAAGCTGTCACTTTTATAGTACCATTAAGGTATAATAATAGCTGTTCTAGTGGTCCATAAGGTTTCCTCTTAGAACTGTTCTATGAGAATGTGGTATCCATTATCAGTCCAAGGTAAACGGGAAGTTAAACAACAATTACTTCATGAAAGAAATAATTATTCTTTTGTGTTTAGTGCCTGCTGTCTCTCCCAAATAGGAAAATATGTGTTGTCAGTGCTTAGCCAAAGGATCCTTAAAATTGCTCAAGAATGTGTGAAAAATTAATTTGATCTACATATCATAGTAATCTTAATAAATTCACTGTTCCTAAACTGAAAAAAACAAACCCTAAGGCAGGTTGCCATCTAAATTTTTGATGTTGTGATGCAATATGCAAAAATTGCCCTGTTGAAGTTTTGAAAACTAAAGCCTGTGATTCCTGTATTGAGTCAACCCATCTCATGTTTCATGTTCCTCTTCTCCTAGTGTGTTCTAGTTTTTGTAGCACTGTGTGTTTTTTAAACGATACTGTATATCCAAAGTGCAATAGCTTTGGATTGGTCAATTTAGCTTTTGGCAAGAGTTCAGGTTTTATTTGATTGATTTGTCTTTCTGACAGTCTGTGGTATCCATTAAACTCGTCCACCACAATATTTCAAATGAGCTATTCCGCCATCCCTAGTAGCTTTCCAGCTTTCACATCCACAAAATCAGAGATTTTGGCCTTGGTCTCCAGCAATGCATTCAGATCTTTTTTAGTTCCTTCAGATGTGTTCTAGGCATTGTTGTTGTTGTTGTTTTGTGGTGGGGGGAGGTGTTTGTCCAAGGCCACACAGGCCGGCTCTTTCCCCTGGAGGCACAATGGGGAATTGAACTCCCATCTCCAGCTCCACAGCCAGACACTTAACTCATCTCCAGCCAGCAAAATACTGTAGATGAAGACTTGGCACTGGGAAAATCAGAAAGTGAGGGAAAACAGTGCTTGACAGAAACACCTGTCCTTATTGACTTAAGGGGAGGCAGTTTCGGCACACCGGACTACTTGCAAATGTATCCCTGTTCCTGTACTTACTCTTTGATCTTGCTTGCTAAAGAAGTTGTGTGAGTGACTTCAGTATGCTCACCTTTTCATATAGGCTCAGCTTTCTTATGCAGATGTTTCCAGTTTGTCATTCTATATAAAACAAGTTACCTGTACTTAGAATCTTTTAAGACTGGTACTTGTTCTTAAGGTATATGTTGTCATTTAATTATGGCACTGTACTAACATTAATTTGGGTGCAGGAGCTTCTCTATTTCACACAAATATTTCTTGTTCCAAGTCAAGACTGGAGAAGCGGTGTCCAGTCTTTATTAGTCTTACCTTATATTTAACAAGGAAAAACTTTGGGGAAAGCAAGAAAGGACGTAAGAGTGGTTTTTCCCTGCTATATTGTTTTGTATTTGAATTGCTGGCTCTAACATATGAAAGGTACTTCACTGTGAAAGAAAGAAAGAAAGAAAGAAAGAAAGAAAGAAAGAAAGAAAGAAAGAAAGAATGAATTCTAAGTTCAGACACATTTCTATCCAGACCTTTGAATTAATCTGTAAACTATACATTTAATTAAAAGGCAGTGTATGCCTGAGGAAGGACTCATTCTATTCAAATGTACAGTATATCTAGCAGTGGTGTCAGGGCAATGAATCAATGCCAATGCAGCATGCAGGTCTAAATCATGCCTTCCTTTACTTAGGAACACTGTAGTGGGGACAGCGAAGAAATGTGGGTATGTGGTGAGGAGGAGATTCAGTTCACAATGCATGCACCTGCAGAGTACAGCTGTGTCTGAACTTAGAATAGGAAGGGAAGGGGGAGGAAAAGGGGAGAAGATTGCATAAAACCTGACTCAAGATAATGTCCTTGTTGTTCTTTGTAGATAAAGCATAGGAAGGGTAGACACAACATGCAGCAAAACATTTGGCAAGGTCAAGGAGAAAGGAGGGGAGGAAAATCAAGCCGACAAATGAAAGGGAAATTGCCTTTCCTTTTCTAGCCTCATGCTTGCTCTTTTCTTTTACCATTGAACAATTACTCCTTTTATCTTCTCTTGAGAGTTACCATTTTTTAAAAAGAGGCCTACATAAAGTAGGCCCCCTTCCACAGTGTGTCCTGTTCTTTTCCTTTCAATTTGTTTAAATGCCAGTGTGTGGGTTTAACTAAATGTATGTTATTCTTCCCTCCATGTGATGATTCACCCAGGCTAGGCTGGTGATGATACTTTTCAACACAGGCAGAGCTACAGTGTTTGATTATTTCTCAGAGTTCACAGGAAGAAGCTTAGAAAGTTTCATTGTAGTGGTTTGCTTCCACTAATAATATGCTGACACATTTAGATGGTTTGTGTATTCATTTATTAGTTATGTCTGCATCCAGGGTTTCCCCTAGTAAGATCATGACGGTAGATTTCACACTCCATCTCTGCCTTTATCTTCACAACAACCCTATGAGGTACATGAGACTTGCTGAAAGTGACTGGTTTGAGTTTCTTGGAAAGTGACTGATCTGAATTTCCTTGTGAGTTTTTTTGGAACTTGAACCTGAATTTCTGAACTCCCATACAAGCACTCTAACCATTAGATCATACTGGGTGAANCCCAAAGGTCTCTGGGTGGCTTACAACATTTAAAATACAATAAAAATTCATAACAATTAAAATATGTATAAAATTGCCATCGGATTTGTGTTGCTCCATGTGCACAGCTGGGATGAACACTACATCATATTCTGTAAAACTAGTGTACACCTCAAAATTGCTTTTAATCAGCAGCAATTTACTTTCCCTTTGTGTTGATCAGCCACAGATGTGCATCTCTGCTACACATGTAGAGCTGAGCAACAGGATTTTATCCATTGGTTCTTC